CTCTCTCTCTCTCTTCTCCCTTAACTGAATAAATGGGGCTAGGTCATGATCACTTACCACTGTGTAATACAATGTGCCTCATCAACAGCAACCGCTTTCAACCTCTCTTGAAATGTCCCCCTGGTCAAAACACTTCGCCAACGTGCACTAGTAAGGACGGCTTCGGAGGACGCAAATACTACAGAATACATTACATTCCGAATATCATTGGCAACAGTCTTACTGTCCTGCAGCTCCCTGACAAATGTCGCAGATATTCCTAGCGTACTTAGTGCATTTATTAGTCCAATCCAAACTATTGAATGGTAATTGACCTGACAGGCCGTCCGTGACATTTGGCCTCACTGATAAGATCAGAGTCGCTGGATCCTGGCAGCCTGTTCCTTGTGTTTTTCCAGCCATTTGCCAAGACTCTTTCCGTTAATGTTTGTGAGCTCATCGTGAGGAATGTCGGGAAAGGATACATGGAATCGTCCAGGAATCTCCTCAAATAGACACTCTGCTTTCATTTCCTCGCCGAGCAACTTGATATCGTTGGAGACCAAAGGCTTTGTGTGCTTGGGTGCACCAAAATAGATTGACAGGCCCTTTTTATATCGGTTGACTATTTCATCAAGTGCAGAGAGACTGCGACCGGCCCTTTGGATGGACTTTTCCGTCAGGTTGCCTCGGAGTGAAGATAATGCATTTTTGGCCACCATGTTTAGAAATTCAAGTGCAAGGTCACCAGGCACGTTGCGACCTTCCACACCGTGAATGTTCGCACAGCGATTGTGCAGTAGCTGATGCCTCTTCTTCTCCGTCAGGGTGGCCATCAGTTGGCTCTGCAGCCTGAAAGACAGCAGCCTATATTTCGGGTGCTGTTTGTGGTGGTACAGGAGCAAGTCGAACCGCCACATCCTCACCAACCTCTGACCATCATTTTCTTTTGCCGCATCTTTCCTGATCCAATCAAGCAGGCCATCCTTCAAGACACTGCATGAATAATGATACTTAAAATAATGCTTGGAGGTTGATCCAACAGCTGCAGGTGGGTTATCGGCTGGTTGCAGGTTTACATCTTGGTACAGACAGACAGACATGTGCTTCTGTCTGCACCTGCCATCAACAGTGAATGATTTGTTACAGCCTGGATAACCGCATGGAACACGGTCTGGTTTGGAACCATCCATTTTGTGCTTATCTCATTATCTTCACCTCGGCTCAGCATTTCCTCACCCAAAGGTTGCTAAGTGGTGGTCTATGATTTCATACGCCTCCTTGTCTAGGAAATTTCCTTTCTCTTCACTGTCTGTCAGGTTCAACAGTGGGTCATCGTCCACAGACTCGAGACCAAGCTACTGCAATGCCGCCAAAATAATGAAGCCAGTAGTCGTGAATCAGATGAATTCTCTACAGTCGTTGGCCGCATCCTTTACCACCGACTTCACACCGTTACGCTCGAATCTGTTTCTCAATTGAAAGAGGGTTCCTTTCTCTCCCGAATACGTCGTCTTGTAGTAGGATTTGAAGATTTCCTGTAACATACAAAATATTACACGTAAGTTCATAAGTAACTTTGATAAGCAAGATTTCCCAGTCCTAATAACAAAAGTTAACAATATATAAATTGTACACATATTTAATTGATAGTCCTACATGTAAGCAATTAATGGATAGTGAAATTGTAATCATTGGTAATAAAATTAAATTCAATAATTAATTGGAAAAAAGTCTCGTCCATGAAATTTGTTTAACCATGTAGAAAACAGGACATTCTGAGTGCAATATATTGTGTTATGTATCCCAATACATAAGTAAAGTATCACAATATGCTATGTTATGACATTGACATCCCTATCACACGCACACACAAGTTTACATGTACATTTTCATACCTGCAAGGCAATAATATGGCCCTGCCAAACTTCACTTGTAGCAACGAATCCATCAAGACGGTCTTGTGGAGTGATCGCATCCAATCTGGCACGATGGGCCCCTACAGCCCGCTCCACGCTAAGGCCATCTCCACCAAGGAGCAGGGACACCATCCGCTTTTCTGGGTGCATACTGCTGCAGATGTGCCATTATATCGATCATCTGCTCTTTCACGTTCTCATCTTTATCCGATATACCCAAAGGAACCTATAACACATATAATGTTTACAATGTATGTACATGCTAATGTTTGTTTGCATTTACATGTAGTTTTAAAATTTAATTTTTCTTATTACTGGACTAAAATGTTGAAATTCATACATGTACATGTATGAACAATACATTAGTTGTTTTATTATCATTACAGGCTCCATTAGTTAGAACTTTTGAACATGTATCAAGTCATATACTGTTTATAAATTTGTCAGAAAGAAATTTATACACATGTCCGCACAGTACATTGAATAACAGATGATGTATATATCCTCCTCACCTCCCACTAACAATAAATCTGTGCAGACCACAATGCAGGGGTGCGGATTGGCACCCATGCAAATTTTTTGTCTGGGCGCTTAAATTTTCAACATAAAATTTGTCTAGAGTACAGTCGCGGTGATCTGGCCTGATTAATCCCAGTCGGACTGGGACGCAGATTTGAGTCGGAGGTCTCGTCGGACGCGAATCGGATTCAAATCTGTCTGACTGCCAGTGATGAATCGGCTGGAGATTAGCGTCTCAAACATAGCCTGCGTCTCAGTACGGCCTGGATTAATAAGGCCATATCACCGCGACTGTAATGTATTTATGTCGTGTAAACTCGTAATTTGTTTAGAATCGAGCATTGTCATTCCATTCGAACTTAGCGTACTTATGTGTTAAGGCTGTTAACGGTTTTGCAATGTTTGCGAATGACTTTATATGTGCTCTATAATAGCTTGCCATGCCCAAAAATGAGCGTACCTCTTTGACCGTTGTAGGCGCCTTAAGCTGTTTAACTACCTGGACTTTTTTTGGATCAGGGCGACGCTCTGAGGTGAAACAATGTGTCCCAAATAATGAACTTTATCTTTAAGGAACTCGCACTTTGAAGCTTTAAGCTTGAGACCTGCATCACGCAGTCTACCGAACACCTCAGCAATATCTAAAAGGTGTTGATCAAATGTTTGGCTAAAGATAATGATGTCATCTATGTACGGAATAACACACCGTGTGATGCAATCCGTCTAATACGGTATCTAACACTTGCTGATAGACGTTGGGTGCATTCGACAAACCAAAGGAAAGGACATTATGTTGTAATGTACCTCTATACGTGATAAAACAAGTATTGGCCTTGTCCTCCTCCGCCATGGCTATCTGAAAATAACCCGACTTTAAATCAAGGGTTGAGTAGAAACGTGCGTTTCCCAACGATCTAAGGATGTTTTATACATGGTAGAGGATATGTATCTTTCCTCGTGACTTTATTGAGCTTCCTGTAGTCTATGACCATTCGCCCTTCATGGTTCATCCTTCTTGTGAACAATGAAGGCAGGACTTGCCCACGGGCTATTGCTGGGTTCGATTATGTTAGCTTCCAGTAGCTGATTGACATGATGATTTATCATAGGTCGATGATTTATACGTGTTCGATATGGTTTTAGTTGTATAGGTGGATGTCCTTCAGTATCTATTGTCATTTCCACTAGGTTAGTACGCCCTAGGTCAATGTTACTTTCAGCAAACAAGTCACTATTTCGCATTAATAGATCCTTTATGGCTGCAAGTTGATGTACTGGTAGA